CATCGGTCAGTTCCTGCTGCTGCTGCTGCTGCTGCAATTGCTGCTGCTGCAATTGCTGCTGCAGTTGCTGCTGCTGTAATTGCTGCTGCTGCTGTAATTGCTGCTGCAGTTCCTGCTGCTGCAGCTGTGATGGCTGCTATGATCAACGCGAAGGCGGTTTAGGGTTGAGGGTTTAGGGTTTAGGGTTTAGAAAGGAGACGCTTTTCTCCCTTCTTCTTCGTTTGTTGCTGCAGTTGAGGATGGGCTGTCAGCGCTTCTCAATGGAGGTAGGTAGCCTCTGCTGCTACAGCAGCTGCTGCTCCTTGTGGAATTGCTGCTGCTACTGCTAATATTGCTGCTGCTGCGGCTGCTGCTGCTGCTGGTGAAATTGTTGCTGCTTGGTTGTTAAGATATTAATTTATCTCCCTTCTCTTTGTCTCCTTATCTCTTTGTTTTTATCAGCGGCTTATTTTAATTTCTGTTAATTGCTGTCGCCTGTCTCGTTGTTTTGTACATCATCTTTGTCTCCTCTCTGGTGTCTCTTGAGTTTTATCTTCTGTCTCCTTTTGTCTCTTTTTAATGTCTCCTTATCTCTTTGTTTTTATCAGCGCTTTATTTTAATTTCTGTTAATTGCTGTCGCCTGTCTCGTTGTTTTGTACAGCATATTTGTCTCCTCTCTGGTGTCTCTTGAGTTTTATCTTCTGTCTCCTTTTGTCTCTTTTTAAGTGTCTCCTTTTGTCTTCTTTTGTCTCCTTTATGCTGTCTCCTTTTGTCTTCTGCTGTCTCCTTGTGTCTTCTTTTGTCTCCGTTTGTCTTTTGTCTTTCATCTTCTTTTTTTTCTGTCTCCTTTCATCTCCCTTCTTTGGTCTTTGCTTTGCTGTCTCCTTGCTGCTGACTCGTTTTATTTTGTTTTGTCTGCTTGTTGTTGATATATTTAATTTATATAATTAAATATATATGTATATATCTGTCTCCTCATTTATTTGTCTGTTTGTATTGGTCTGTCTCCTTGACTTATATAATTTAATTTAATCTGTCTCATTTATTTATTTTTTATTTATTTAATTCTGTCTGTCTCCTCGTTTATTTATTTATTTATTTATTTATTTATTTATTTATTTTAGTCTGTCTCCTTTGTTACTTGCAGATATGTGTCTGTTCGTTGTTGATATATTTAATTTATATAATTAAATATATATATATATATATATATCTGTCTCCTCATTTATTTATCTGTTTGTTTTGGTCTGTCTCCTTGACTTATATAATTTAATTTAATCTGTCTCATTTATTTATTTTTTATGTATTTAATTCTGTCTGTCTCCTCATTTATTTATTTATTTAT